ATGCAATCATCTTGCTTTTTTGGGACATGACTTGTTCTTCCTAGTTTAACTTAATTACAAGGGAAGATATTGTGCCGAATGAAGTACTGGATGCATCTGTGACATTACATCCATAATATGACCCATTTTATAGTTCAAAGGCAGCATGTGTAATGATACTGGCACAGTAGCAATCCAAAGTATTTTTAAAGGGTCAGGATTTCTTAGGCAGTGATAAGATTTAAAGACAGGCAGATAGGCTTGATCTACATGGCACAGGGAATAAACAGGCAAAGGGAAAAGGATGCAGCAGAGCATCTGCAATGGTCAATATCAGGGAATAGTCAAAACCCACCTGTCCTCTCCCTGCCCCCTGTAAACTGATTCTATTTAGTATTACAGTAAGAGGGCCATTAGAGTGCCTAATGTAGTGTGCAAATTACCTGCTTTTATTCAGATATGCAGTTTCTATATTATCAGCTTGCATACCTCAAAAGAGCCTATTCTCTTAATGTCAGTATGATTTATACACAAGTACCTAGCTGAATTGCAACTATATCCCACAAGGTTAAGTAAGACTGTTTCCCCCAACAATCTTCAATACCTAAGCCAAGAAGTCACTCCTTTTAAAATTACAGGCAATTGTATTGCTGGAAGATATTTAAGTACATCAAGACAGCCTCAGGAACAAACAGTTCCACATCCTTTCCTCTCCTCCCACCTCTGCTTTAATGACTTGACACAGACAAAATACAATCCTTTCCTGAGAGCAATTCTGAAGAACAATGAGTAGCTATAATAAATGAAGAGAACAGTGAAATCATTGGCAGCTTCCTAATTATACAAGGGTGAAAAAAATGCCTAAGTTCATTATGTACCATAAGGCAACTGGAGAAAAAAACAGTTTCAGAAAAAAGGTCCTTAGCATCAAGGCTGTGTTTGGAAGCAAGAGGGACAAGTCTCTACTTCCAGACAAAGTGTGAATGCTTCGGCTACAGTGAATAAAACAGACTAGGCCAATTCTAAAGAACAGCTAAGTATCTGCACCAAACCAAACAGAACCAATGCGAAGCTTCCTCAAAGCACTACTCAGAGTAGTTGTAACTGTTTATACTATCCAAAGACCCTCCTATTGATGTTACAGGCTTCATATTAAACCCCGAATCACTCAAAGACCTTAATTTGGCTTTTGCAGGGCTACTTTCAAGAAACTAATGTGATTCCAATTCAAACAAGAACCCTTTGAACAAAGTGGGACTTTATGGGGGTTTATATATTTCTATAACAAAAGTTCACCTTTATTATAATCTATGACTCAGAGCTCTCTTCAGATTCAGGACAGAATACAGTAAATTCCCTGTAGAATCACTATTGTTCATGGTATGCAAACAATTTGGCAATGTGTCTTTTTCGTTGTCAAATCATACACTCATTTTAACCTCTGAGTAGATTTGCAGACATGAGCTACCCACATACTAGGTACAGATATCTTTTTGCAGGTATGGTTTCTTCAAACATTTGTCGATGAGTAATTTTGAATGAACTACTCAAATGACTGTACTTCTGCATGTGTCTAAGTTGACAGGATGCGCACATGTATTTTTTACAACGCGAGTTAAGTCCAAGACACGATGAAGATATTGAATAAAAACAGTAATTATTACAGCAATTAAAATATAAAACTTGAGTCAGCGTTTTGCTGCTGTTCCTGACTCTTCCTACTTGCTTTATAATTTTGGGCAAGTAACTTAGCCCCTGAGTCTGCAAACCCTTTTACTTATGCTAAGTACAACAAAGAACTGTATACCGGATAACGCAGCTTTATTTACCTGACTTAACAAAATCAGGGTCTAAGCTGTTTCTGTGACTACACATATTGTTAGTATCAACAGAATTGTTCTGTTGTACTCCAATGCGGCATTATAATACAGCAAGTTTAAGAGAGTGCTTCTCTACCAGTACTAAGCACTCCTCAAAAGAAAGCATCAGTGCACATTGGAAGAACAAAAGGGAAGGCAGAAAGACTGGGATTGCTCCCTAGCGTAATTTCTGTCAGCAACTTTACCTCTGTTGCACCCTTAAACTCGACCTTTGTCTCCACGTTGCAAATACTTACAGGAAGCACCGTCCCTTTTCCTGCGCCTGAACACCTGCCGCGGTTTCCGGATGCCATGCCACAGCGGCAAGGCACACCTGAGAAGGGACGAGAGAGGCAAAACGGGAATGAACGGAGCTCTAGGTGTTTGGGCTTCCCTGCCTGACAAAGCAGCCGCGGACCAGACCTCGCGCCGCAAACCCCG